TCGGCTGCACGCAGTGTAAGCGAAAATACAATAGACTGAAAGATCGGTTGAGGAAACTTGAACTAAGAGGATCCCGAATAGCTGGCCTAAGTTATTGTGCTTAGGAGGAAGGTGTATCCACCTGTCTTTCGCTGCCGAGGTGAACTCGCGGAGAAAGAGGTATGTTGACATTACAATGCACTGCAGCACCATATTAAATGTTTTACGACAAGATTTACTTTCCATTTCCCACAGCCAACTTAAATGACACTCACGGAAGAATTTAGGCTAATAGATTCTCAATTTATCATTACGCCACCACCTGACAATTTATCTTTAGAGAATTTATATTACAGTTACGCTTTCCTGTTCCCATTGATGAATTATTGTTTGCGTTTAACTTTTGAGCGTAACGTGCGTGTTCATTTTCTATTTTCATTTTTTTTTTCTATTGAACGTAAATTCAATATCTTGATAATTTTGACCATCGTTACATAAAGTATGTATATATAAAATACTACACGCCACAATATACGAAAAATAAAACAGATTACAGGAATAATAAGTTTGGAAATAGATAAGGCGGGAAATTATCACCTTATCACCAATATTAAGGAAAAAATGGACTATTGAACAGTGGGAGGTGGTGTGTAGTATAATAAAATTTACATGCTAAAACCAGAAAGCGTATTTAAATACGATAATCGGACGATTTTTTTCTTTCTTATTTAAGCGATTTTCGAATGTTTTATTTATTTCTACTCTTCCGCTATATTTTAAATAAGAAAAATATAATAATATTTTTAACTATTTTTAAGTCTAATAAAACATTACACCAATCTTGCAATATCGGTGACAGTAATTTAAGGTTATTAAGTAAAGATGCGTACATTATAATTAAATAAAATATAATATTGAAAGAATTGAACATTTTAATTTAATTTAAAAATATAATCGAACGAATAAGTAATAATTATTATTTTTTAATCGTACGATTATCGTGTGATTAGCAACAGCTATAAACTAAATCAATATAATAATAATAATAATAATGTCCTCCAGACCAAATTTCCATCACGGCGGCCGGAATCAATGGAGACTAGGCATCGGCGCAGAACAGGATTATAGTAACCAAGTATATGCGCAAGCACAGGTGCATTCTCTATTCCCTGACTCTCATAGTCCGATGGGACGATATACTCGTACTCTGGGTAGCAATTGAGAATTTCTTGACGAAAAAACTCAATAACTGATTTTTTGGCCCGACCTGGGGTTCGAACCCCGGACCTCATGATCAGCAGTCTCATTTACAACCACTAGACCAACGAAGTAGTCAAAAAAATTATATCAATAATAACAAAATAATACACTAATATATACAACATAAATAAATATAATAGAGAAGGCTAAGTAGCCAAAAATACATAAATAAATACAGAAAGGAAGCAAAAATCTAAATGTTGTTAATCAATATTATAAACAATTTTGTCTGTCACTCATATTAATATTTTTAACGAATACAAATATTAATAAGAAGTGAGCTCGGTGTCTCTATGGCTTTATCAAATTTGAGTCTATTTGTGGTGTCTATGTTCAGCGATCGGCATTTAGTAGTTTGTAATTTTGATGATGATATATTAAATGTAACAGAGAACCTGTCTCCATGCACCATCAAGCAGAACAAAACATTACATTAACTGTCTTCTCTTGATAAAAATAGCTAAAAACATTGTACATACCGTTGAAAGGACTGTAGCACCGCCCAAATTTCGACAGAATCAAACAATGTAGTCCTTATGGCTGAATCGCTGGTGAACCTAAGCACTACTCAATGACCTCAATAGTGTCTCCCAACGGATAGGTCTTAAGATGAACATGGACAAAACAAAGATCATGTGTAATATCCATGTCACACCTATGCCGGTAGTTGTTGGGAGCACTAAGCTCGAAGTTGTTGACGAGTATGTTTACCTGGGACAAATAGTCCGACTAGGTAAGTCCAACTTCGACCAAGAGGTCAATCGACGAATTCAACTTCGCAAGTCAACGTTCGGTAAATTAAGACATATCTTCTCGTCAGGTATACCTCAAAACCTGAAAACGAGATTGTACAACCAGTGTGTTTCCAGTCATAACTTATGGATCTGAGACGTGGTCCTTCGCTGCTGGCCGTATGAGGACGCTCAAGGTCGCTCAGCGAGCTATGGAGAGGGCTATGTTCGGGGTTTCTTTGCGTGACAAACTTAAAAATGAGGATATCCGCAGTAGAACCAGAGTGACCGACATAGCCCCACGGATTAGTATGCTGAAGTGAAATGGGCCTAGTGATATAAGTCTTTCGGTCGGAAGGGTATAATAGATAGCCTGTAAATTGCAGGCTGTGTGGCATTCCATCTTAAACATCAGAGGTGGCAACGTATCTGTAGCCATCTTTGTTTGAGGTTGGCTGCAGATGTCTATGAACTGCAGTAGCCACGTACCATCGGGTAGATTGTAAGTCCCTTCAGTTTAATAAAGAAGTAATTACTTCAATTTTTATTTACTGTTTCGTCTGTACATTTAAAACCGTTTAGTGATTGCTTTATTTCTAATAAGTGCATAAGAAGTAAGAACACATAACATAATTTTTCTTTCTTGATATGTATTAGTTGGTTATACTTAGCCGAATTTAAAAAAAGCAATATAGTGCAATGTTGTGTCTATAGCGTAATGTGTATACTAATTACAATTGGCCCTACTTACAATCGTTGATTATCACTTGTTTAACTTCAGGATTATTTATCTTTATGTACCTATCTGTTTTTCTCTATAGTCAATTAATGAAAACAGAAGAAGGAACATTGAGCATTACTTAAAGGGACGTCGATGAATAAGGTCGTATTTGATTTAACTGAATTTCGTTACTGTTATGTATTTTTAATTAGATGTACGTAGGTTTTTGTTGTAAATGTCATTTGACGGCATTGTAAGAGAATTCATTACGCTATTTCCTCCCGTGGGTGTCGTAAGCCTCATGGATCTAGATAGATAACTGCAGCTTTTTTACGGAAAGGTTATTCTCTGCTCGGTGACGGGGAGTAACAAGATGCAAGATATCTGGTACTGTCTTCGGTACTTCGGCTGCCAAGCGTGGCAGATAAGGCAAGTCCTCCTTATAATGAGAGATACCAATATCCAGCAGTGCAATTTTATAGGCTAATGGATAAAAATAACGTGTTTCTACAGAATAAATAACGTTCATGTGGTTCATATCACTCCTTGCGTAATCCGTTCTAAAATTGGGATTGTTTAATATAATAAAAAACATAAATTCGATTCTATTTATTTATCCGTCTTATAAGTTTATAAATATATTCATTCGCTAGAAATTCACACAAAGTAACTAATGTAAATACCACTTACTATACTCCTGTGATCAGCAATCGTTGTTAATTCTTATTATGATTCTAACATCGAAACATAAAAATACATTTTGAAAACAAATTAATAAAATACGTAAATGTTTTAGTTAATGACCTTTTATTATGTGATTTTGCCCTATTATTAAAGTATACCCATCGTTGCTTATTGCTAAAATAAAATACTACAAGGAATCATTCATTACAGCCTGTCAAAAGCCAATTGCTGAACAAAGGCCTGTTCCATGTAATAGTCACATAATGTCCTCCAGACCGTAACTCTTTCAAGGGACGAAACAGGCCGCTCAATGTAGACAAACTATCTGCACAGAACAGGATTACAGTTCATATGTATTTTCGTAATCGCAGGTGCTCTATCTATTCCATCATTCTCGTAGTTTGCTGAGATGGCAATCCGACACAACCAGAGAGAGATCGGGCGCAGGATCAACGCCTTTACGTGCTTTCCACGGCGTGGGAATAAGCTACTACGACCAAATAGAAGTGGTCAGAGGTATTTTTAAAGAGATTTAGTCGAACGATAAGTTATTGCGAGCTTAAGGCAAGTACTTTGAAAAGATCGATACGGTGATAAGGCATACAAATATTATTTTCGAGTATCTAGTTAGTTTTGACATGACCCCTACATTTAATACCTACGAAATTAATACTTACCATTACAAAATTGTATTGTACAAAAGATCCAATATTGAACTAAGATCCTATAATCTGATTGCCACATTGGGTTTTTTGATTCGATTTCTAGCAAATCTCAGTACCAACCTCTAGTCAGGAAGTTGACAGTGTTTCAACGCCGTATCTCTGACTTTTCTTCTCTAATCCCTCGCTGTCATAGTGAGGGAGTAGAGAAAAGAAAGTGCACTTGTGCTTGCTCACGCACTTATACATAATAATCCTGTCCTGAACAGATGGCTTGTTTCCATTAAGACTTGCCGCACAGACCGAAATTCGGCTTGGAGGACATTCAATCATAGCTCGAAAATTACTTCGATCTAAACTCTACTGCAGCAAATGAATTCCCGCCGTATTCTCACAAAAAAAGATTTTTTTTCATAACAAAAGTATCTGTATAATAAAGGTTCCATTTTGAAATTTATCAGTAACTATCCAGCCTTCACGATAATGATCAAGCAGCTTCAAACAAACCAGTGAAGAGTATTTCAAATTAATTTTAGCATGTCTCTTGTCATCTCTTAAACACGCTGTGAACACGGGATAACATTTACAAGAGACAAAATATATTTTACGAAAGTAACTGTTATAATATTTTTCTTTACTTAACTACATGTTGGTTCAAGTGAATATCACGTCCCTAGACTCTAAGAAAAAGAACATCAACTGCCCCATTTTAAAAATAATAATTATAATAACAGAATAAACAACATTATGTTTATTCTATCGTTTTATGTTTATAATATATTCATTATCATATCATTAATCATATTTTTTTATAAGTATATAGCAGGCATCCTAACCAAATAAGAATTCTATATAAACACCCCAATAATAATAATTATATAAATAATATTAGCAGCTAATAACTTTAATACGAAAATAAAATTATAGATATGTTATAAGAGTAGGCGTGTCTGTCTGTAAACGCTACGTTTTTCTAACTATGCCAAATTCTGAACTTTGGCGTCCCAAAGGCAGTAACTTCCGGCCTAGCCTTCTAAAAGTATTGCGAAACTGTCTACTCATACTACAGTACAATACGAAGTTGACAGCGGATCCCACTAGCGCCATTAAGTCCATCACCTCGCCTGTAAAAAAGCAACATAACATTACATATATTTATTTTGAGAAACATTTTGACACATTTTTGTCAGACAACAGTTTTTTTACGTGGTAGAGCCATGCTGCAGCTATATTAGTAGTATAGTTGTAGCATGAATGGGTCGGCTCGGCCGGGGAAGAACCACGCTCTCACACAATACCAGCGTAAAATAGCAGCTTAACGCTGCTGTGTTTCGTATGGTGATTGTAGAGAACCGGAGACCCTTTTTACTGGAAATGAGACATTCCATCTTATTCCTCACGGGTGACAACGCATCTGCATTTTGATTCGTAATCGAGGATAGATGTAGATGTATATGGGCCACAGCAATCACTTACCATCAGGTGGACTGTGTGCTCATTTGTCACTCTTATCCTATAAAAAAACGCTGAATGTTAGTTTCAATAAATATTAATTAGTTAAACAAATTTATTTTATGTCCATTTTGTTCATAAGTTCTAGACCCAAGTATTTCTTCTTCTTCATCAGCGCGTAAACGTTCACTGCTGGATATGGGCCCCTCCGAGGGCGGATTTGCCTTAATCGTCACTCTTGGCAAGTGGATTAGGGATCGTATATCCAGACGTCTCTCACCTTTGAGTAATAAGTCTCACTTTGAAACTCCAAAAAAAAACCCTTAGGGTTTGGTAGCTTTTTGGAGCGAATGGTTCCGCCGCCTATGGAGAATCGAAGTGAATCCCGAAAAAAATGTAGCAATATGCTTTCAACGGAGCTCAACATCAGAAAAGATTCAAGGACCAAAGGCAAAGCTAGATATCATCATCTCCTTATACGGCCGCGCCATCACTTAGGAAGATTCGGCCAAATATCTAGGAGTCACGTTCGACGTCCGCATGAATTTCGCGAAACATATAAGTGTAGGTCGCAACAGAGCCACGACAGTGATTGGCCGTCTCCTCTCTCTTGTGAACAGGAAGAGTAAGTTGTCAATAAGACAAGTTACTCTTCCTGCACAAAACCTGCGTTAGACCTATTATTTCATACGCAAGTGTAGCCTTCGCCTACACGTATAGTACTTATCTATACAAACTACAGAAAATCCAAAACGTTTTCATCCGGAAAGCCACCGGAGCACGGTGGTATTAGCGGAATTCACGCACAATGATTGCCAACTTCCCACTATCTCCGAATACTTCAAGGAGATGTCTCAGCGCTACTTTGATAGCGCCGAAACCCATTCAAACCCGCTAGTGGCAAACGTAGCCAACTACGTCGCGATACCAAGCGTCGCGCGGACTCTTCGTAGACCGCGTAACGTATTTATGAAACAACCACGCTCGCTCGACCCAGTAGACTCAAAAGTCGCAGGCACATCCAACACTGTCACTACACCCACATCAAATGGGGCAAGCACAAGTAGGATAACGCGTCGTACCGGTGAAACGCGGTGAAAACCGCCCAGAAGCAACCGACACGAGCTAAGCAGTCAGAGGCGGGGGTACGCACATCCCCACTCACACAGCGGCTAGATAGCTCAAAAACTTCAAGAGAGGAGACATGATCATTGGTATCAATATCAAATCATAAACCATCATCATCCTCATCTTCATCTTTATTGCCTTTTCCTTTTTTATATAGCTCTCGACCCTGTGTCAAATGAAGCACCGACATCTCGAAAATAGACGTTGAGTAATTTACGTCTGGCGCAAACAATATGGTTATACCGCCATCTGTCGGAAGCCGTAGTCGCCTTCGATACTACCCTCAAGACAAAATAGGGTGATCGATTTTGTTATCGGCACGCATTTTTACTTAAAGAAAGTCAAGTAGTTATTCTCTAGAGTAGTTTATGTACTATATTATTTGAATCTAAATTAAAAATTTAATTTATTTTAGTTAAATGCAATAAGTCGACCTTTAACTATCCGACTATGTCAAAGCCAACAGGAGGGTTAGGATTTTGACACATGAGGTATCGCTTGCGCTGGTAACAAATTATATTACGAAGTCACATAAAATCCATCATGGCCACCACGATGGATTTCATTGCAGACACAATATGCTTTAAAAATATTGTGTTTGCTATCCAATGAAAGGTCTTAACGAGTACTTATGGAAAATTTATAAACATACACGAACCAAAAAATTTAAATTCAATAAATGCGGCTAATCTCCCTCCCAAAAATATAAAATCAAATTATCAAATTGAACTTACTACAAATTTATAGTAAAAAATAAATAAAGAAAAAAATAACGAGGAAGTTATATAAAGAATGTAGCGACTAGTGACTACGGCTATAAGAGAATAAATATTTATTTTAATTATGTCAATTTAGATGGTCTAATATTATTCCGTGATTGTTTTTCATTCTTGATAAAAAAAAAAAACGACAACCTTATTTTGTTAATACCTTTTTAGTGGAATTTTTATCTAATTTGTTTATTTTTTTCACTTTCTTTTTATATCGACTTACCAAAGGCATAGTAGCATTCCTGAAATAGGTGAGGTGCTATAGCAGTCAGAAGCCCAAACAATGCTTGTGGCAACTCTGTAGCTAGAAATAAGCCCAGCAGTGCAACCAACATTCGTGTGGTTCGATCTGTTCTTCCACCGCCGCCCCCACCACCTCTTTTTCCTCCAGAATCTTCATTCAGTCGCATTTTCTCGCCCTGTTATAACTTTTTATTAAAATATATATTATGTAATTCAAAATATGTTTAATTTTGAGGGACCTAAAATCATTATTATGCAAAAATATACAAATTTAGCACCCACTTCGTCCATTTAGTACCACAAATATAAAGATTATTTTAATTGATTTTCTAATTATGTTTTACAGCATCCCAATAGCATTAACAATGAGGCAAAGACGCAAACAAGTGTCGTAATTAATATTATAATCATGGTGGCATAGGTATTTATCTTTATATATAAAAATTACGTGTCACGTCGTTTGTCCGCGATGAACTCCTAAACCACTGAACTGATTTCAATGAAACCAACTTAAGAGATAGGATAGTTTTTTTTCGATAACTGACCCCCAATATTTTTTTATTGCAAATTTAAGGATTTTTTTTATAGGAAGGGTCGTTGAAAAGGGTAGGAGAGAGTCTACCTGGCCAGCTGGTATATATAATATATATTTAGAATGAACAATGATATAAAAACTTTATATCATTGTTCATCAGAAAGGGGCTATTCATTAATTACGTAAAAATGATTTTGGAGATTTCGGACCCCCCCCCCCTTCCCCATGTAAGGGTACATAAGATTTCTTGGACCCCTCCCCTTCTCCCTCTTCTTACGTAAGATTCTATCTCGTTTTTCATAATAATAAAATGTTGTTAGAAAAAGATCAGTTACACTAAAACTCTCAGTTTGACGTAAATCAAAGATTACGCGGATAAAATAAAGATTACTTATTAATACGCGGGAATAATGTACCTTTATTTATATTATATATTATCTAAAACATTTAAAATGGATAAAAATTACCACATTTAAAATTTTAAAATTTTAATAGACACTAACAATTTTTAAAATAAGATCGAAAGAAAATCAAAGTGTACATTATAGAATGAAGAAAACCATTCGGCATCCGAAAAGGAACTAGATTTCTAATATTAAATTTCGACTTACAAAATATTTCGTGAGATTCTTCATGTCCTTATCTGAATATTTATTATAAGATCAGAGAATATCTGAATATACTTATAAGAATCTTCATGTCGAAATGATTTCTTATATTTACGCGAACACTACACATTGAATAAAACTACACGACGTCTAACAACGGGAGGTCAATCACCTCAGTCCCCCGTGACCAAGGGAATTAATAAAAATAAGTCAATTAAACGCGATAAAATCCGTAAAAGTAGTTTTATTCAATCTTCATGTCCCGGACAAGAAATTTTAACCCCCCTACCCCTTGGGACCCTTACGTAATTAAATAATGGCCCCAAATGTGTAAGAGAAAAAAACAAATTCAATAACATTATTTAATATTTGGAAACATACCTAAAACATATTCGACACACATTCTCATAATCACGTTTTCTGTCTATCTTTCACACAATATTGACAAATATATCTAATTACCTCATTTGTTGAGATCGCTGACTTTTTCAGAAGCTTTTGCCTTCTTCGATCACTGGATTTCATTTTCAAAATAAGACACACACTTAAAATTGATAACACGACACAGGGGATAAGTTTTAGGAAAACACTGTAGATCCAAAATATTGCTGTCAATAAATTTTCGTTACTGGTCATGGATATTGCGTATTTTGGATCATAACTCTGTGATATATTTGTAATCTCATTGACGTTGACTGTTTTATTTCTATCATCGCCACTATCAGAGATTTCTTGTATATTCATAGCAAAATAAATAGGAAGACACATTATTGGACACACGACATACGCCACAGCTATAGCAATGCTCGTATTTTGTTTATTACAGAGAATTTTATTCTTCTGTGGAAACTTGATAGCGATATACCGCCACACGGCAAGTGTAATTGTTAGCCAGATTGAAATTGTATGAAAAGTTTGACTGAAAATCGAGTGAAAATAGACAAATACTGCCCAGCCGTATGAATTTCGATGCAATTCTGGTCCGATATTCGTATAGATATGTAGCGCTAAAGGAATGTAATCGAGCATTACTAAGAGATCAGCCACAGCTAGAGCAGTAAGGATGGAGTTGGTTGATGAAACCATCTCTTTGCGGCTAAGTACTGCAATGTTGACGGAGTTCGCAGCGGAGCCAAGTAGACAAATAATAAGTGCAATATAACCATGAACTTTAACATAAATCCGTCTGAACTCTTGACCACCAGGAACGCAGTAGGCCACCATGATGCTAGCACCTGTGATTCCCTCTTCTTGTATTACAAAGGTATGTTTTCTAACCATAAATAGCGAATATATACTCGGCCCTCTTCTTGTAAGCTCTTGTACATTTTCTGAAAACAAAGATGATTTATTTTAAATAAAATATAAAATGCGTATTAAAAAATAAGCAGAACAATATATAGTCTCTGAAACAATAGTTGCTAGTGTGCTACTAGCAACTATTGCCGATACTAAGTTTATTATAATTAACCATTAACAAACTATCATATCTATATAAAATAAAATTAAAACATAGACACATCAACAAACGTTTGTTTCGCTAGCAAAAGCTAATATATTATTAAAATTTAACTTTATCAAGAAAATGTGTTTAAATTCTATATTTTTTTTTTAAATAGAAAGGAACGGTTTTAAATAAAAAAATGAAACTTTATTTGTTTTTTTATAACGAAAATTGAGTAATTCAATCCTAATGTAACAGAAATTTGATGGAAAGAAAAAGACTGTTTAACCAAACTTATACAACAATTTATTAAAAAAGGTTTTTATTTAATACAATATAACTCCTCTCTGGATTGTACACTTGCGGAGTTCCTCCTGGGCATGCTGAGGATCAAGTTATCCGGCGTTTCTTGCGATAACCTGTCCCATTTTTGAATATCGGCATCCCTCATCTCTGGCACTGTCTAGGGAGGTGGCTGACAGTTCGAAAGAGCTCGCTTATGAACAAAGAAATCTAAGTAGTAGTAGTAGAAGTAACAGACCGGACATCAGCAACAAAATTGTCACCTCTTACTTATGTCCTATAGGATATATTTCGGATTTGTGTCATTTAATCTTAGTGACATCGTCAAAAGCTCAAGACGCCTTCGTTTCCTAAGTTTAAAAAATATTTTTTATAGAAAATATGCCCGATTGTGCATTAAGGTATTATAAATCCCGATGTGGAGCAAAAACTGAATGTGATTTCGGTTTATTATCGCAAGAATAATGTATATTTTCAAACAACACAACCTTCACCAACACACATCGTGACAAAACTTACATTACCATCCACATCATTTGGATGCTTGACGGTCCACTACTGTGCGATTTATTAGGTGTTTTCTTAGGAATCGTTTACCAACGGCAATTTTATGGACCGATACGACTTAGGGACCTTCAAGAAACGAGTTTAATCGTTTTTAAAAGGCCGGCAACGCATCTGCAATTCTCCTGGTGTTGTAGAATTATATTAAATTTTAAAAAAAGGCTATCTTGTTGACTGGTTGTACTGGTTGTACTGGCTGACATAGATGTGTCATGTTAAAACCAACTACAGTATGCCCCGACACAGGCCTAGCCGATTACTTTATTGGTACCGGTACAGTATTGTTTACTGTTTCACCTCCTTAAATATTGTAGATAATTAAATCGGCATCCGGTATAATATTTTTTATCGATAACAATAATCGATAAACGATGTCAATCACTAACACTTTGGTAAATAAATCATGACGTTACTGCATAACAGAAGGCGCTTATTACAATAATGATAAATATTCTAGAACAATCTACCAGAAATAATAACATTTAAAAATTATTAGGAAAATATACATTATTCTTGCGATAATAAACCGAAATCACATTCAGTTTTTGCTCCATATCGGGACTTATAATACCTTAATGCACAATCTGGCATATTTTTATTAAAAATATTTTTTAAACTTAGGAAACGAAGGCGTCTTGAGCTTTTGACGATGTCACTAAGACTAAATGACACAAATCCGAAATATATCCTATAGGACATAAGTAAGAGGTGACAATTTTGTTGCTGATGTCCGGTCTATTACTACTACTACTACTTAGATTTCTTTGCTCTTAAGCGAGCTCTTTGGAACTGTCAGCTACCTCCCTAGACAGTGCCAGAGATCAGGGATGCCGATATTCAAAAATGGGACAGATTATCGCAAGAAACGCCGGATAACTTGATCCTCAGCATGTCCAGGAGGATCTCCGCAAGTGTAGAATCCAGAGAGGAGTTATATTGTATTAAATAAAAATCTGTCGAGGGGTTGTTCCCCCAGGGGCGGGGCGTCGTCTCCCCCTCCCTCAGTATGTTGAGAGGGACTTCACTGCCACTCAGCGGTCAGCTAGACCCTTCTCACCCTCGCCAGCTGAGTGGCCGCGGCTTGGGGTACTGCCGTTCCCCCTTTGATGCTGGCAGCCCCAGCTAGGTAGCTGCCGCCCTAACTCCCACCACGGCCGCCTTCACTAATTTTGTGAGCCGTCAACAGCTCACTTGTCAAACTGTTCTATTGTTGACGGCCTCAGTGAAGGTGTACAACCCGAGCGTCGATTTTTTAACGGTACCTGGTTCACAACACGGTTGGCCTCCGCTTGGCTGTTGGGAAGACTAGGGCTCCCCGGGAGCGTTGAATCGCGCTGTTAGGGATTATTAGATTTGGTTTTGGTCAAGCACTTAGTTAAAAATTCTTTAAATTAAAAATAAAAATGCTTTGGGTTTTCCGCGAAATGCTTTCATATTTGTGGCGGTTGTGATTAAGAAGGCGAATTTAGTGTGCTCTTTGAGTACTTGTACATATGCTTCTGTAATTGTATTTGATCATTGTGTTTGTTTTGTTGAAAGGAAAATTGAAATTGAATGATGTGCCCTTTGAATGCTTGTGCGTATGTTTTTGTGATTATGTTTGATCATTGTGTTTTGTTGAAAAAAAAATTGAAATTGGATAACCCTATTTGTGTCGAACGAAATAAGAGTCATTCCTCTTTTGGTTTTCACATTTTGTTGGCACTGTCTAAG